TAGTACCCATCAGTATACATTTTGTTTTATCAACATTAAGAGCACCATTTTTCAATATTTCCTAAATCAGAATTTAGAGCTGTTTCAATACTGAATATATTATTCTCATAAATATGCAGAGTTGCATCTTCAGCAAACATATAGATATTTGCATGACTTTACATGTAAAGGAAGGTCATTGATACATAACAAAAACAAAAAGGGGCCCAATATTGATCCCTGTTGCACACCTGCTGTGGAGTAATACATCAGAAGAAGTTGTACCAATGTTTGTCACATTGTGCTCTGTTATTTAGATATGAGTGAAACACAGGTGCTTGACGTTTTTAATCTTTCTTTTTATAAATAAATAAACTTTACTACTATAATAATAAAATAGGGAAGTTTTATATTTATAAAGAGAAAGATTAAAAACGTCAAGCACCTGTGGAGTGAAACCATGTAATTGACAATTCATAAAAGTTGTAGTTATTTAATTTTGTACAAGAATGTCACGACTCACTAAATCGAATCCTTTGCTGAAATCTAAAAATGTGAAACTTATGAGATAACCTTCATCCATAGCATGCAACCAAGCATCTGTTAGTTAAGTAAGTGCTGTTTGACAAGAGTGAAATTCTCTGAATCCAGATTGAGATCTTTTGTTATAAGATTAAAAGTGGAGGTAAAATCTCGTATTTGGTTAGATATTAGTCTGGATAGTGTCTGAAGTATAGATATGGACGGTAGTTGCTGGGGTCTGCTTTAATTGTTGCCCTTTTTACATACAGGGGTGGCTTTTACTTGGTTCAGCTTTGATGGAAAACTACCACTACTGATACTGGCATTGATTAAATGAGTGACTGATTTATTAATGATACTTGCTGCCAGTTTTAGGAGACGAGGTCCTATGAAGTCAATGCCTGCAGATTTGTTGACATCAAATCCGTTCAACAAATCAAATACTTCTGTATCACTGATTGGTGTAAGGCTAAAAGTCACCAAGTTTAGATTTTGTAAATTGTCTAAACGATTCTGGATTGAAATTGCAGTTTGGTAAATTAAGGATTTCAATCCCTAATGGTACAAATTCTCTACCCTTAAATGTCCGTCAAGTACACAATACTCTGATATCATATTAAAAGATTTTATAGTGGAAAAGGATTGCCCACAAGAAATTTTCAACAAGATCATTAATTAAGCAGTAGTTAATTAACAAAGATTGCATTGAAGTCTATGGGGAAAAGCGTTTTTTTCTAAATAAAAATTCAAATAATTTTAATATCAATAAATCCTGTGGTGGAAAGATGCATTGAAATATTATGAATAAAATGATAATTAAAAATATTTTTTTTACCAGCTAAATTTTTTTTAATTGATTTTTTTTATTAATTTAAAAGGGGGAGATAATTCTAACCAAAATTCAAGGTCATGAATTAAGACACATCCCACTTAACATACTTACATTAATAAATGGGAAGTATGTCTAAATAAACTGAGTATTCAATGCCTACATATCTGTTATGTTTTCAATTTCATTGAATTTCTTCCTATTAGGGATTGAAGACCTTAAGTAAAAGTTTACTTGAAATTCCTGAAAAGTATTGATTAAAAATATTGGCAATTTTTTCGTTTCTGAGTCATTATGAATGATATGGGAAGGAGTAAAAATTTTAAGACTACCTATCGGAAATTTTCATAATTCCCTTTATGGTGGTAAAAATCTCGTAAATGTCTAGCTTCATTTATTTCTTTAGCCACTTTGGTCTAGTTTCACTCTTAACTCTCTTACATTTATTTTAGCACGCTTGTCAAGGACGTTATTAAACATTATATAAAATTTATTGAGAATGTCATTAGGATCGTGTAATTCGTTACGTAATATGATTTTTCTTCATATTTCTCTTCACTTTCATGCAATAAATGTGCATTAACATATAGCTAATATATATATAGTCTCTAATAAAATACTACCAAAAATCTAGAGAATTTTAGCGTTCAATATCTGGACGTTTTTTGGAACACTGAGTTTGTATTACGTATACGAGTAAGCCCAGAATATTCCAATAATGAGCGTTCAATATCGAATTCCCGTTGTAATAACAAGAGCCCATGGGCTCTGTAGGTCACCTGTGTATCATGCAACAACTTTTCAACAAATTAAATTTGATTCATGTATTAAACCTGAGGCCATGAATTTCTTACACAATTTTGAAAGAGGCACCATTGCTTATCATAATTTTACACTCAGTATACTTACTTCAATTGGTTACTTAATACCAAGAGGTAGTTCAGAGAAACAGAGAAAATACATTTACACTTGATCAGTTGTGTTTCCCACCCCGCAGAATCCACTGACCCTGGAGCCACATCTTTCAAAATTTTGGAAATTTTATAATTTTTTTTTTCACCACGTTGATTAATACTAGAGCACAATCATATTTCAAACCATTAAATAATTTTCAAACTATGTACCCCCCCACCCAAGTACCTCTGTCCTTGGGGCCAGTAAAATAACGGTTTTTGAAAAAACAGCATTCTTCGTCATAAATATAAACTAGGATCATTGGCATAATACCCAAGAACAAAAAAAAACATTTCCAAAATTTCATCAATTTTCACTTGATAAACATTAGAGCCCCGCCCTATTACAAGAAGCCCTGACTAAGGTCCCTGCTATTCACAAATCTCAAAGAGGCATCCTTCCTTCTCATAACTTTGTACATAGTTCATTGGTTATATATATATCCAGGTGTAGAGGGAAAAAAAGATTTTTAAAGAATCTATGCGTTTTTACTATAATTATGATAAAATCAATAAAGCCCCACCCTAACACCAGAACCCCTAACCCAGGGGTCATGAAATTCACAATTTTGGAAGGAGCAGCCTTATTCAATATAACTACGTACTTTGTTAGTTTATATAACACTCAGGATCAGTGATAGAAGATTTTCAAAGAAATAAATCATTGTAATCTAAATAACCCCGCCCTAGCACTAGAGCCACTGACCCTTTGGCAATGAAATTCAAAATTTTGAAAGAGGCATTCTTATTCAACATAGCTATGCACTTTGTTGGTTGTTTTAATGCCTAAGAGCAGAAAAGAAGAATTTCAAAGAAATAATGCATTTGACTATAAAACCTATGAGGCCCCGCCCTAGTACTTGAAACCCTGACCCTGGGGCCATTAATTTCACAATTCTGGTAGAAGATTCAATACTGATTACAATCATACTAACAGTTTGCTGTCCATGAGTAAAGAAGATTTTTTAAGATTTCGGTAATTTTAGTGGTTTTAGCCCCACCCCCAAGGCCCCAGGGGGCAGAGACCATGAAATTCACAAGTTTTGTTCCCATTCACCCATGGATACTTTGTACTTAATTTCTTTGAAATTGATTTACTGGTTTCGGAGAGGAAGCTGAAAATGTTCAAATGTTAATCTTAATGTTAATCGATCTTACCTCATGTTAACAAACACCATGGCTGCTAGAACTATGTATCAGTTATTACCTCCCTTCGCTTTCCATAACTTCCGTTACTACGTTTGTTTTATTGCGCAGTAAATTTGAACTCATAAAAAGCAACACAATTTTAAATTCAGTTGTTTTACTGTTTTAAAATATAATTATAGGGAATGACTCTAATTCTTAACCAAATTATCGAGTATAATTTGGTTCTGGTCAGTTAACGCTTTTTTAAGCGGATTTTAAAGCGTAAATTGAAGGAATGACTCTTGTACAGTCATTCCTTAAATTAAAGAAAATATTCAAAGGATTTGAATATTTACTAGTACTACTTGAAGTTTTTCCCTTTTATTTTAGATTATTGCTCACTATTTATTTTCATGTGACGTATATTTCCCTATTTCAAAAAACATTGTTTTAAATAATTCCTTCAGACTTTAATATAGACTGCTTCTTATTTATTTATGTTATAATTTCCTTCTTTGATAAAAATGTTGTTTAAATATTTCCTTTACAAGGATGATAACAACGATGGTGTTATTTCCACCTTTTTTTATATCGATATTGTGTTGGTGAAAACTGAACTATTTTAATAAATCTTTTTGTTCTAATACACGAGGATTTAGAGATAATGAACAGTTATTCAACTCATAAGTCCATATATCTACGAAGGGTTATCAAAAAATTCATGAAGTGAGGCTAAAAAATATAACTATATAGTTTGTGCTGTAAAAATTTATATGGAACATGAAACAACACAAAATAAAGAAGTATTGAAAATGTTAGCCTGATATGATCATTATTTTCGAAATTATTATATAAAATGAAAACGACATTATATGATCATCCGGCACTGTCGTCGTTTATTTTCATGACGTCCAACAACGGCATTGTTTTTTTCAATGCCCTCCTCTTCTACCTCATACTCTTTTTTGAAGAGATTCCCTAGAGCTGAATAAGGACTTATACCCGCCTTTTTTATATGACTTTACAATGTCATGAACATTAGTCTTCAATGAATACAACATTCCAGATGGAATAATACATTGGGAGAGATCTGCGCTTGATTATAAGCCAGAATATTTTGCTTTTAGGAGTTCATTATCAAGGACAGTAATGTCTTATGGAATATCCTACCCAGACATCCATAATATACATGGGCTTACATAAGCCCTATGCTTGTATTTGCAACATTGCTTATGAATATTTTCAGAATTAAAAACAAATTTAAAGTTTATTGTTTATTGTATGGCAGATTTTGGCCACAGTGGTCAGATAAATGTATTTCAACAACAACTTTGGGGCCGCCAGACAACAGGGCTCACCCCCTACAACAACATTTTATGTGTCGTCCGAAACGGCAAGTAGCATGCTGGGTTGGCTTTCACAATCATGCTACCGACACATAAACATCAACCTTCTTTTTACTTTAGGTTATTTATATTATTTATTTATATTATGAAAATATTATCAAATCAACATCAACGTAACAACAGTCAACCATCAACGTAACAACAGTCAACATCATATTTCACAACCAACTTGAAGGTGACGATATGGCCACATGGGCACCTGATGAATGTGTGTATTTGCAGACATACATTCAGGTTGCCCACCGCCACATGGTGGGGGTAGGAACCTTCAAGCTGACCACTGTGACTCTGCCAAAAGGAATACCCAATTCTATGGACTATAAATATGCTTTGTTATTATTTACAAGGAAATTATTTGCTTTCATGCTTTGTTATTACTTACCAGGAAATTATTTGCTTTCACCCCATCTGAGAAAACACCCCCAAGGGCCCCTTAATGATGATGATAGAAATTTGATTGATTTCTTAACTCTGACAAGTGTGATTCATCTGAGTGATATATTGTAATTATCCGCCTATCAATTGGGGGCGCATGATAACCCCCCCCCTTCCCACTTGAAGTACCCGTTTTGTTTCCCATCAGTATAGCTGCTTCATTGCTCTAGCATTCCTCGAGAATCTCAATGAAATACAGGGTAGTAGAAAAACCAAATACTAGTAAAGAGTAGTATTGATGAAGATACTAGTGAGTATTAAACTAGATATCCCACTTATTTCTATACCATAGTCGTGTGCTTAATTTGAACCACATCATTGACCCCATCGTGTGTAATTATATGTTAGAGGATCCTCCAAGTACCTAACCTTCTGAACTAGTTCAATGAATTAATCCCCGTATATTTGCCATCAGAATCTATATCTCTCTTTGTTTTAGCCCAAGATTCCACCCTTGCTCTAACACACACTGCTATTGATGACCTCCCCTTTTTATATAATTGATCAGCAGTGCCAGATATCCATACTATAAATTAACCTGGTTTGGGGAACCCAGTAATATTTATTATCCAATGCATGCAAGCTAGTACAATTGAATGTGAAAACTTATGATAAATGTAGCCTCTATTCTGGAAGAATCAAAAATAATACTGTCTCGATAGATCAAAATCTACAATGACTTGACCTTTAACTGCTGAGAATTGATATAACCCCAAAATGACAAAAGAAGGGTCTTTGGTCTTATTTTTAAAATTTAGCCATTGCCTGCATTAGGTAAATAAATGAACCATGGTTATTTATCAGAACTTACACCCCCTTCCAAAAATGAAAAGTTTTAGAGCACCTTAAAAACAATTGACTTATTTGTGGGTTAACACGAAGTCTCGAAATAACAACGCATGATCAACGTCATATTTGACGGGATTGATTTTTCACACCTTGACTGCAAATCGACATTAACTGTGTATCCCTTTCCTCTCTGAATCTATTTTGAAATTTAAAGACAAGTACTTTGGATGCATATTTTCTCTGTAGCAGAGCAGTTTCAACATATTTAAGGTCTATACTACTTTTTTCTGGGGCAAAACTTTATAGAATGTTGGAAACGGACCCCCCTCCCTTTGACGTCATTTTAAGGCCTCATTTATTTGGGCATTCCGTGTAAAATTTACGATAAAATTTCATAGAACTTCCAGAATGAAGTGAAAATTTCATATTTGATAGAACAATTGTGTCCTAACACATATCTGAATTAACGGGATTGTTGGATATCAAATTATCATATGAAAGGAGTTTTACTCAGTTACACATAAGTCGAAAAAAAACGGCGTTTTCGAGGTTGCGCCGTCTGGACATACCATTGCTTATAAAAACATTACTAATTTATTTCAAAATAAAATTCATTATTCTCCGGTTTATTCCTTGGATAGAAAAGAAGATGTTAACTAGATATTTCAAAATTCATTGATGTACCTTAAGCGGTTTTAATTTTATGGCGCCAGCCCATGAACTTTTTGATAACCCCTCGTATTCTAAAAATGAAAAAACAAGATGTGTTTGTGAAATACAATGCACCCGGCGGCAACAAAAATCTAAAAAGCTATTTTTAGCATACTTGCATAGGTCACAGTCAAGGTCACCAGGTCATTGACCTTGAAGTCATTGGAAAGAACTTAATTAGTGGAGTATGCACACCAAATATGAAGTCTCTATCTTTTATGGTTCAAAAGTTATGGTGAAAGTTACAAAAAAGCTATTTTTAGCATATAGGTCACAGTCAAGGTCACCAGGTCATTGACCTTGGTGTCATTTGAAAGAACTTTATTAGTGTAGTATGTATACTAAATATGAAGTCTATATCTTTTATGATTCAAAAGTTATGGCGAAGGTTAATGTTTGCAGACAGAAAAGCTATTTTTAGCATATAGGTCACATTCAAGGTCACAAGGTCATTTATATTAGTGTCAATTGAAAGTACCTCATTAGTGAAGTATGCATACCAAATATGAAGTTTCTACCTTTCATGGTTCAAAAGTTATGGCGAAGGTTAAAGTTTGGGGACAAACAAACAAACAAACAAACAGACAGACAGACAGACAGGACAAAAACAATATACACCTCGGATCTATCGATCCGGGCGCATAAAAAACTAAGCTTTAGATTGATTGATTGTATATTGTTTAACGTTGCTCTCGATAATTTTCACTCGTATGGAGAAGCCACCACTTGCGAGTAAAGGGCTAAAAATTTGTCCTGTACTTTGCACTTCATTGAGCAGGGAGGGGTCTTTTTCGTGCCAGCATCTACTGCGATACGGGACATCGGCTGTTTACACTGTCTCATCCGAAGGACCAGTTCCACAGTGGAATTCGAATTCGCGAGGTGAAGATTTACTACTTACTTCGTGACTCTAGAGCAGTCGCTCTACCCACTGCGTCACCCGAGCGACTTAAGCTTAAGAGCTTTTTCATTTATCATTATACCCGCACTTTCTAAAGAAAGTTCGGGTATATTGTTGTTACTCATGTCCGTCCGTCCGTCTGTCACACTTTTCTTCCCTGAACTCCTCCTACATTTTTCACAGTAGCCTAATCATCCTTTGGAAGATGGTTGGGGTGTCATGTAGTTGTGCAGTAAGGTTTCGGAATTTTTATATTGACCCGGGGGATCAAATGGGGGTCGAAAAATGACGTTTTTTATGCAAAAATCCCTTTTCCCCTGAATTCCTTCTACATTTTACTTAGAAGCCTAATCATCTTTTGAGAGATGGTTGGTGGTGTCATGTAGATGTGCAGTAAGGTTTTGGAATTTTGATTTTGCCCCAGGGGATCAAATGAGGGTCGAAAAATTACGTTATTAGCAGACTTATTTTTATATTCATATGAAGCAGAATTTATGCAAAATCTTTTGCGTGAAAAGAAAAAAACACTTGCTGTGGCCTTCAACTCGACATTTAGATATATCGACGACGTATTGTCAATTAATGATAATTTCCATTCCTACGTCGACACGATATATCCTGGTGAGCTTGAGATAAAAGATACCACAGAGTCCGACACTTCTGCTTCATACTTGGATATTTTACTTGAAAAAGACACAAATGGTATTCTAACAACCAAGCTATATGATAAACGTGATGACTTTAACTTTTCTATCGTCAACTTCCCTTACTTATGCAGCAATATACCTTCATCACCTGCATACGGAGTATTTATATCTCAGTTGATTCGATACGCAAGGGCATGCTCTACGTATGAACAATTTCTTAAACGAGGTAAATTATTGACAAACAAGTTGATGAAACAAGAATATCAACAGTCTCGTTTAAAGTCATCATTTCGTAAATTCTATGGTCGATACAATGACCTTGTCAGCAAATACAATTTATCATTGAATGAAATGCTGACTGACGTTTTTCATACCAATTGTTAGTCCATTATTTATACACTGAATTGACCACGGATTTTTTCCGTTATTTCCTGATTATGACAATGAGCACACGGCGGGTGTGACCGGTCGGCAGGGGATGCTCACTCCTCCATGGCACCTGATCCCACCTCTGATGTTTCGGAGGTCCGTGTTTGCTCTGCTCTTATTTTGTATATTTGTTTAATGGACGTTGAGATTGAATACTGTTCGTTATTTCCATATCCTTATGCTAAAAGCCCCGTCTTCCCTGAACTTCTACATTTTTTCTCAGCAGCCTAATCATCTATTGGGAGATGGTTGGTGGTGTCATGTAGATGTGCAGTAAGGTTTCGGAATTTTGATTTTGCCCCTTGGGGTCAAATTGGGGTAGAAAAATGACGTTTGTTGTAAAATGCTAAGTCTTCCCTGAACAGTCTCGTTTAAAGTCATCATTTCGTAAATTTTATGGTCGATACAATGACCTTGTCAGCAAATACAATTTATCATTGAATGAAATGCTGACTGACGTTTTTCATACCAATTGTTAGTCCATTATTTATACACTGAATTGACCACGGATTTTTTCCGTTATTTCCTGATTATGACAACGAGCACACGGCGGGTGTGACCGGTCGGCAGGGGATGCTCACTCCTCCATGGCACCTGATCCCACCTCTGATGTTTCGGAGGTCCGTGTTTGCTCTGCTCTTATTTTGTATATTTGTTTAATGGACGTTGAGATTGAATACTGTTCGTTATTTCCATATCCTTATGCTAAAAGCCCCCTCTTCCCTGAACTTCTACATTTTTTCTCAGCAGCCTAATCATCTATTGGGAGATGGTTGGTGGTGTCATGTAGATGTGCAGTAAGGTTTCGGAATTTTGATTTTGCCCCTGGGGGTCAAATTGGGGTAGAAAAATGACGTTTGTTGTAAAATGCTAAGTCTTCCCTGAACTCCTCTTACATTTGAATAAATATCCTAATCATCTTTTGGGAGAGGGTTGGTGGTGTCATGTAGATGTGCAGTAAGGTTTTGGAATTTTGATTTTGCCCCGGGGGGTCAAATGAGGGTAAAAAATTGATGTTTTTTATGCAAAAAGCCCCGTCTTCCCAAAACTCCTCTTACATTTTACTCAGTAGCCTAATCATCTTTTAAGAAATGGCTGGTGATGTCATGTAGATGTGCATTAAGGTTTCGGAATTTTCATTTTGCCCGGGGGGGGGGGGTCAAATCGGGGTAGATTTTTTTTTTTACATATATTTGACATGTTTAATCACCCTGCTTTCAAGAACTTCCCTAATATCTTATGCTGCAATAGCTTTAAACCATGATCATTTAGAAATGATTGGTTTGTTTTGTGTATGTGTAAAATGGTTTCAGAATTTGAATTTTCGTATGGATGGCAAAAAGGGA